GCTACAAGAAACTCTTCAAAATCGCGTTCAAAGTCGTCCATTGCAGCTGCTATAGTCCGGAGATATCGCTAGGCTAAATAAACAGCTGAGCTCTGTTTACTGGCTACGCTGTCAGTCAGTGTGTGGGCTGGAGATTGAGCAGAGAGGGGAGGGGGGTCCCCACTCAGTATGGTAAACGAGTGTGTGTGTAAAGTTATGAAGTGTGTCTGTTACGCTAGAAGAGTCAGAGTTTGGGACGGAGTCTTTTACCCCCTGGAGTGCTACCGGAGTTTCTGGAGTGCTCAAATAAACGGGCCTTTTTCCCGAACGCTACTCTGGTCTCCTGCTCATGAGGGATCCATTACAATATCATAACATGGCTTAGATTTCTAAATAAACATACAACTTGTCGCTAGATAGACCTACTCCTGAAAAACTCGTGCGCAAGGCATTTTGTCCCTAAGAGGCCACCATCATTTACCCAAAAGGAGGGGTGAGCGAGTGAGCCCTGCAATCTAGAATTTGACCACTGATGTCACTGTTTTCAACCCATTTTACACACTGGCCCTTTAATGGGTTTAACAACAGAGTCAGGCCATCCAATGTCTGTTAGTTTGTTGTGTAGGATGTCAGCTGCTGCTGCTGCTGTGTTAATATGTGCTAACTGGGCAGATGTTGAACTGAACGTTTGTCAAGAACCTAAGCAACAGAAAGTTTGTTGATCCAGAGGGGAGTCAGGAGGGTCTGGATTCAAACCCACTGCACAAAAAAAGGATTGAATGCAGGTATTGTTTGACTGGAGACATTTTGATACTACTTGGTACTTGATTATTTTGGTCAATGCCTTAAAGGCATCGAGTACCGATACCAAGCCCTACTCCTGACACACCAGGCCAACAGTCGGCTGTTGGTCAGTGATGGGCCGTCGATGATCGTCTCTCTAGTTTTGTGGTGTGTTCCGCGCTGTTGGCATTAAATGGCCCTTGTCGGCAGTTTTTTGGCCAATTAAGCATGTTGAATCAACATCGGAACCAGCCGTGACATAAATCACTCTGATTGGTTTAGCTGCCAGCATGAATCTATCTTGAATCCCTCTTGTTGGTCTCCCAGTTTCCCTTTTTAAATGACCATAAGACAACTGCTGCCTGCTAGTATGGAGTTATTTCCTTACTCGTAGACGCAGAACGTATGTGCTAGTTGGTCATTGGCTGTAGTCTCTGCAGTGTGTTTAAGTGCAACTTTTTGGCTAAGACACAGGCAACATGTGGTGACACAGCAGTCAGCCTTCGTTTGCTGTGTCTGGGCCTTTACCCTCCTCATGCACAATGATGCCATTTGCTTGTAACTTTCAACCTTAGGTGTAGATTTTGGGGGGGCGCAGGGGAGATGCCCCCCTCAATAATTTGAACATGTGTATTTGGCTCTTGCAATAAAAACATGAAAGTAGCAGAGGACATTTTTGCAAACTATTAGAATGTGACTCCTAGACATAAAATGACTCTGGTAATGTAGTTGGTGGCAGTATGCAACCTCAAAAGCAACAGTTGCAATCTTTAATAAAAAAGGAAGAAGATGAAGCAACTCTATGCACAATTGAAGCAGGAAGTACTATGAAATTTTCACCAGAAAAGGGACTTGAGGTGTTTACCGCACAAAATTTCTTGTGGGAGGACCCCCCGACCCCAAATGTAATATGTGTCCCCCTCCAAATGTTGAAACAGAGCCTACACCCTGGCTTCCAAGCCTCTTGTCAAATAGAACCTTTCCTCAGTACTTTTATAGTTAGATATTCTCATTTCACAGTGCAGTGCTTTACCCACTGCTGGTAAATTCGAAATGACAGTTCAATCATCAGAAAGGAATGAATGTGCAATTGTAGTAGCTGTGATCACAATAATCACAGAAATCTGAAGAATGCATAATCTGAACTCTGGTGTTTTTAATTTAATGCTTCAGGAGATGATTTGTTGCTGCAGTATGAGCAGAATTAACATCATCTTTAGTGCCAGCAATCTGTAGTTTGCAGTCTCAATATCAACGTTCTATCAGTCATTAAAGTTTGGTACAGGGGCTTTTTTGCAGTGTGTACTTTCAGATTAACCTCAGACACAAAGAAGGTGTCTCTACTTAATCTCTTGGTGTGGTTTTGCCAGTGACTGCTCTGTGTGTTTCACTGATGTTTTTGCAGATGTGTTGCACTTTACTGCAGGAAGTTAACCTGCAGAGGATGTGGCTGGTGTCACCATGTCTGATCTTTTTGTTTGCATAAGAAAACAACAACGCTGTATTAGCAAGCTTGGCAGACTATGTAAAATGGTGGAGAGTAACT